TACATACACATTTAAGTGACATTGACTACGCTCTTCTAATTGTGCTGTTATTCTCACTTAAGATGAAGGCTTACAGGACAAAATAGTGTCCCATTTAACAGTTACTACAAATGTTGCCCTATGACAATGGTTAACAATCTCACAACACATCGACACCTTTATTCTTTTACCTTGCTTTATTTTCTTAGTATTTATCATTCCCTGAAATAATGCTAGGTATTCGTTTCTTCCTTGTTTGTTGTCTGTCTCCTTCGCTAGTATGTAATCACTGTGAAGTCAGGGATATGGTCTGTTTGGTTTATTCTTATACCTCTAGTGCATTGAACTAGTGCATAAAGATCAATATCCTAGGCATTGTTGTTAGGTGCCGTCAAGTCGGTTCCAACTCGTAGCAACCCCCATGTACAATAGAATGAATGAATCCTAGGCAGTAGTGAACTGCAATGGACTGGTATTGGCCATTTTGGATTGGACAATCATATGGTCTACTGTGTGGGGAATGACAACTTGCAGAGGAATGGCGTTGCATTCATCATCAAAAAGAACATTTCAAGATCTACCCTGAAGTACAATGCTGTCAGTGATAGGATAATATCCATACGCCTACAAGGAAGACCAGGTAATATGACTATTATTCAAATTTATGCACCAAGCACTAATGCCAAGGTGGATTCAGAAGAAAATATGAAATGAGGAATATCATTGCTGAATCAGATGGGATCTTGGCTGAAAGTGGATAATACCAGAAAGATGTTTACCTGTGTTTTATTGACTATGCTAAGGCATTTAACTGGGTGGATCATAACAAATTATGGATAACATTGCAAAGAATGAGAATTCTGGAACACTTAATTGTGCTCATGAGGGCCCTGTACGTAGACCAAGAGAGGGCCATTCAAACAGAACAAGGGGATACTGCATGGTTTTAAGTCAGAAAAGGTGTACGTCAGGGTTGTACCCTTTCACCATACTTATTTAGTCTGTATGCTGCGCAAGTAAACCAAGAAGCTGGACTGTATGAAGAAGAATGTGGTATTAGGATTGGAGGAAGACCTGTGATATGCAAATGACACAACCTTGCTTGTTGAAGGTGAAGAGGACTTGAAGCACTTACTGATGAAGATCAAAGACCACAGCCTTCAGTATGGATTACATCAACAAAAAGAAAACAAAAATCCTCACAACTGGACCAATAAGCAACATCATGATAAACGGAGAAAAGATTGAAGTTGTCAAGGATTTCGTTTTACTTGGATTCATAATCAATGTCCCTGGACACAACAGTCAAGAAAAGCAAGAGACATATTGCACTGGGCAAATCTGCTGAAAATGACATCTTTAAAGTGTTAGAAAGCAAAGAGGTCACCTGGAGGACTAAGGTACACCTGACCCAAGCCATGGTATTTTCTATTGCCTCATATGCATGGGAAAGCTAGACAATGAATAATGTAGCCTGAAGAAGAATTGAAGCATTTGAGTTACGGTGTTGGCGAAGAATATTGAATATACCATGGACTGCCAGAAGAACGAACAAATCTGTGTTGGAAGAAGTATAGCCAGAATGCTCATTAGACGTGAGGATGGCGAGACTGTGTCTCAAGTACTTTGCACATGTTATCAGGAGGGACCAGTCCCTGGAAAGGACATCATGCTTGGTAAAGTAGAGAGTCAGTGAAGAAGAAGAAGCCCCTTAACGAGATGGATTGACACCGTGGCTGCAACAATGGGCTCAAATATTATGAGGATGGTGCAGGATGAAGCAGTATTTCGTTCTCTTTGTGCATGGGGTTGCTGTGGGATTAGCTAGAGAGAGCGACCCCTTGACAATGCACTGAGTCGTACCTTAGAAACAATGGCCACCCCATTGTTCAGGGTGAACTGTTGTTGGGGGCAAAATTTATTTCAGGGGGAAAGAAGAGAAAACCCCAGAAAGCCCCCTAAATTATATGCATCCTGGGGCTCTGCTAAGGGAAAAGCAAGGAAGGCTACTGAAATGCCCTTTGGGGCTTCAAACCCTAATTTTAGAATTGACAGATTTTACTAGATTTGTCTCCTTCACAAAAGTCACTCTCAAGTGCTTGGCTGGGTGCTTATACTCCAAGACCGTTGTTTTGTAGCTGAGAGCCCAGGGAAACAACACAGCAAGTTTCTATTCCATTTAGGGGGTTTACCTGGCCACCTAGGTAATTGTCTGTATCTGGAGCTTTGGTGGGAAGACTCAGCCTCAAGTTTATCAGGTAGACATGGGGATGGCTCTATTGATCTCTGTTCCTTCTACTTGTTCTCCACGTGGTTTGACACATGATATCAGAGAACCCCAGGGATCCAGCAGGCTCAGGCAGCCCCCAATGACAGGTCACCCTGAACAATGGAGTGACCACTGATTCCAAGGTGTGACTCAGTGCATCATCAAGGGGTCGCTTTCTCTAGCTAATCTCACCTTCTACTGACACAAATTTGTGCCAAACCAATCCAGGGAGGCTGGTCCAAAGATCTCAGCTTTTTGTCCCTGGTCAGTCCTGACACCAACTGCTCCAGGCAGTCCTTTCTCTCATTCCAGCCACCGGGTCTAGGTCAGGGGTACCAGCTGCAAACACAAGGGTCCACATGACTCCCTGCACTTCAGACCAGGTGGTCCCTAAATTTGAGGTTTTCCTCTAATCCCCTTAGGATACCAGCCACAAGCTGGGGAGTCCTCCACCCCCTAACTTTTGACCCACTGGCTCCCACTTCCCCTATGGGTTCCACAATTCATTGAAATGGCTCACAAACCGCAGGAAAAGGGCTATCTTTAATCTAGAAGAAAAAAGGATGAAAACACAGGCGAGGTTTGGGAGGGGTCTAGGCTCAGAGCTTCTATGCCCCCAGGGGACACCCTAACCCTCTAGAACAGAATGCTTGCTCTCTCCAACCTGGAAGCTCCTCTGAGCTCTTCCACTGAGTCTTCCATAGCCTTTATTGGCCTCACCACATGGCCATGATCGTGGCTTGTGAGGCTTCGTCATTATCAAGCCCCCAGGTGAGCCCTCTTGGGCTGGTCAGCCCTCACTCATTGACCTCAGGTGTGGACCAGCTCTCAGGAACCAGGACCAAAGGCTAAATTGTTTGCTACGAGTTTCCACACCTCGCACTTGGTAAAACGGTCTATTCCCCCAATGTCTGGTTGCTAATGAACCGCCATTGAGGCATGTGGATTTTTCTAGGGAAAGGGTCAGGCCCCTTTAATATGGACTCATCTGGAAAAAGGAGCCAGGAGACAACACTAAATCCAATTCCAATAGGACTCGTTTGATGCCTTGGGGCAAGCCACTTAACCCGAGCAATTCAGCCCGTAAGGAAATATAAAATCCATCTGTCCCTGGAATCTCACCCCTGAGACTGTCAAGGAGTCTGCGATGACTAATAAGGAGACTTCCTGCAGAGCTGCTGTAAGAATAAAAAATAGCTATTGCTTATTGGCTGTTTACTTTCCTCTGGGCTCTGTTCTAAGTGCTTCCATCTTTTAGTTCACGTAAACTTGTAACAAACCTAGGAGGTAGTTCTATCATCATCGTCATCGTCATCCCATTTTATGGATGAACAAATAAATTCTAAGGAGTTAAGAAACTCGCCCAAGGCCACCCAGTCTATAAATGAGGGATTTAAGACTTGGAAAGCCAGACTCTAGAGCCCATACACTTAGCTATTGTGCTATATTGCTCACTTGTGTCAATGGTCTTTTTTAAATCAAAAAGAAATTAAATTTTTCGTTCCTTTATTATTATTTTTATTTAAATATATGTAACAAAACACTTGATACTTCAGCAATTTTCACTTGTACAGTTCAATGACATTAACTATGTTCATTATGTTGTTCAACCATCAGCCTTATCCGTTCCCAAGTTTTTCCAT